CGTAACGAAATATACATGAGTTTAAGAGTTTTTGCGTCTTATCGTTGCCGTGTATTTGCTCTTATCTTTTGAGTCAATTCACACGATTCACTTTGCAAACTTCTTCATCGATTTTTTTTTTGATAACGAATTATCGTTCACGCAAATCTACGTATATTTTTAATACGATTGAATTTTTTTTTTAAATAGAAAGAAATCATTAGTTAAAAATCAACGATAATTTGCTATTTACATTGTTACGTAAAATAAATTTTTAAATTAAGATTTTTAAATTAAGATTTAAATTAAGATTTTTAAATTAAGATTTTTTTGAAATTTAAAGATGTTTACGAGATATGACGTATAGAAGAATAAGAAAATCAACAAATACGAGCTATGGACGGATTACTATTAACCGTGATGATGGTTCTAGTTATAAAGCCGAGAGTCAAAACAGAGAGGTCGACCGCTTTCGCGTCGCATTCCACTGACGAAAATAGACTTTTTCCACGTGCCAAATTTTACCGATCCTCTTTGAATCCTTCCAATGCTCCCAACATTGCTAAGACTCTACCAATGTTGATTAATCGTTATCATGAAACGAATCAAAATCGTGTTCAGAGAGCTAAAAAGTTTATCAACAATCAAGAATCGTTATTCGTTTATTTTTCGAAGTGATTCATTCCGCAATTGTTAGATTATGTAATATCCGTTTTCCAAGGCGAAAACGTTTTACCGATATTACACGTATAAGCGTTTACGTCCGAATCTAACCATAGATTTGTGTGTAGTGATCAACCTCGGCAACAAGCCAATTTCAACTTGGCGTCGAAATCGTACGATTCGTGTTGATTCGATTCGTATCCGTAATGATTTCGAGGAAAACAGAGAGAAAATAGGGAACGAAAGGTGGGGGGAAAAAGAAGGGAGGAAAGATAGGTTCGTGATACATATAGACATTTTCGTGTTCTTTCGTATAGAAACCAAAAGGAAGAGGTAAAACATCGATGACTCGAATATACATTCGATTAAGATTTGAAAATTAACAGATATAATCCGATATTAAATCAATAATTTTCTTGTCTCGTTCAGAAAAAAATAAAACACCTTAACAAACGAAGAATATCATTTAGATATTTCTTATTCTATTCTTTTTTTCATGATGAAATTCAGAAACGAAACAATAACAAAGATAAAAATAAAGATGACAATGAAAAAGTCAAAGCTAATAATCACCATAACCCACGATAATGAATAATATTGATTAATCGAATAAATTTTTTAATTTTCACGAGTATAGAAATGACTGCGGATGTGGTTACGGATATGATTGCGGATGTGAATGCGGATACGAATTGACGACTGTATTTCCTTTATATATCGCATAGTTCAAAGAGTTCAAATTATAGATTTAAAAAATAACTCTAAACACATAACCAGATAGAGATTAATCAACGTTAATATCACACTTTCCAATCAAAAAAATTTTATTTAATGTGTGAAATCTCTCTCTCTCTCTCTCCTATTCTTTTCTACGGTATTATACGGTATATCGAATATGAATTATCATTTCAGTCTTTAACCATTCAATAATAATTGTATCGGTTCGTATTGTGTATTCACACATTTTCAATTATCCTATTATATCAAGAAATGTACGGAAAAACGTAGCATACAATGCGCTCGCGCAATTATGTGGGTGAGCGAGTACTTAAGTACCTGGGAAAGGGAGGGTTGACGGTGCAAAAGTCGAGCCTGGAACGAGCTCGGTGTGTCGATGGTATGCTGCCTAGAGAGGGCTGCATGTGGCGGAGTTACGGAACTCTGACGGAACCAAGGTAACGAGATCTTCCTGCGGGCTTTCTTCACTATTGTTGCAGGTTTTCCTGCTGGTGACGTCATGACAGTTTTACCTCGTGTTCAATTCACGTGCACAAACGCAATAATCATGTATAATATAAGAAACGGGATTGAAGATGTTATTAAACGTACGAGCGGCATGCTTTCTTTCTTTTTTTTTTTTTTTTTTTTTTTTTTTTTTTTTTTTTTTTTTTTTTTTTTGTGGTAATCGTTCTTTTCCTCGCGTTTCTCAACAGGTCAGAAAGTCTTATCCACCGATTCGTCACACTCACCATCGAGGGGATCCATTCGACCCAAGTGTCGCGCCCGTACTGATCCCGTTACCTATCGTTCCTCGTATCCTCGCCCTCCTCTCTACCTCACCCTCGCATACCTTACTACGTATTTCTCACCCCTACCACCCTATCACAACCACCCTACCCTCTCACTTTTCTTCCATCATACCCTCTCGTGTATGTATGCGAAGCGATCGCGCTTGCTCGCTTTTTCGATTATTCTCGAACCCCACCCAACGATATTCTCACGACTCTCGCTTCTCGTCGCTATCGTTACCCCACTACCAAATATCGAACAAGGAAAGAATCGTTCATCGTTATTGCCTCTATCTATCTATAGCAGTTCTCTGTTTTAGCGCTTTTCTATCTTTGACCCTATTCACAGATCTTTCTGTTTACGTCCATCTATGATTTATATACACCTGGTTCCAACAAGTGACAAAAATCTAATGACGATAATGATGTTTAGAATCCCACGTCTTTTCTTTCATCTTCCGTATTTCGTATTTCGAGGTCGGAATCAGATCGACTCGTTTTTTATTATTATTATTACTCTTCATGTTAATTTTATCATGTTACATTGATCGAATATTTTTTGCATCTTTTGAATATTTTTGTTCTCTTCAAAATTTATTTGGACTTATAATTGAACTATTGAAAATATTTTAATGATGAATTGCCATTTCTTATTAATAAATAATAATTTTTCTAATTTTATTTTAGAAATGTATATTATAAATTGAAATGTGATCAAGTATTAGGTGTACGTCACGAATGATTTAAATTAATTCCAAATTTCAACAATCTTTTTGTTCTTTTTTAAACAATATAATGTATTGTTAAAAATTATATCTAGATAAGTTGCAAAATAATCATTAAATCTTTGCAAAGGAGTGGCAACAAAAAAGAAAATAGAACAATAAATAAGCGAAAGCCAAATTAAAATATTTAACTTACCTTATCCGAGTCTGTAGTATTAGTAGAACCAAAAGATGCCAAAGAATTTCTATCCAAATTCTCAACACTATCATCCAAAGAAGTACATTCTTCAAGATCTCTACTAGATCGTTGACTTGAACTCTTTTTCGCAGGACTCTTGGGCATACTTAAACTGAAATATGTTTCTTGAATAACTTCGCGTAATCTTTTCACCCATAATTGCTTAGCATCCATTGAATTGGCTCGAAGAACAACGCGTGTATCGCTAGTCGGTGCACGACCTGTCCATACTGCGAATTTGCATTCATCACCTTCAATATGTTCAGTTACACCCAACTCAGAAGTCATTAAACGACTTTTATAAATATATTTCACCTATATCATAATGAATATTATATAATAAATTTTATATATATTTTAAATGAATGCATCTCTAATTTCTCATGTTAAATTTGCTTTTACCTTCCCAGCAGAATCTTTCACTTCTTTGCTAAAAAGCAGATACAATTCAAATAGAAATATGTGCCGATCTCTGCCTTTTCTAATCAATTGTTTAGGATCCCATACTGTAAAAGAATCCTGTAATACTACATCACCTAATGTATCTATTCTCACATCGCAACCTTCCAGCATACTTAAATGTAAGGCATCATTTGCTTTCTTAGGCACATTTAACATTACTTCAAGGCCGTCTTTTATTTCGCCCTGTCCTTCTTGGCAACAAGCCTAAATAATTTTTATAAAAAAAAAAGACAAAATTAAACATATAAAAAAATATAAAAACAGAGAGAAACAAAAAAGAAGAAAAATTTAATCTAAATAAAACAATGTTGTTAAATAATTGTGCTGTAAATTATTTAATTATACATGAATATAAATTTATAGATTCAATCAAAAGCATAGTATCAAATCAAATCTATGAAAGGGAAAGAATAACCAATTATACCTGAAGATCTTTTAATAATAATTGATATTTTGTTATTCTTTGTACGGGTTTAATTAAATATGCAGCAATCGGATGTTCAACTCGATGTTTTCTTTGTAATTCTTCAAACCATGTCCCACCATGAGTAACTAACAATTGATTACTTTCTGGTTTATTCTTGCAATATGTCACATACATATCAAACTTAGGTGCCTAATCAACAAAAAAAAAAAAAAAAAAAAT